TCTAATTAAACAAAATGAAACATAAGTGACATACTTTATTTACACATATATATATATATTTATATTACTTATTTTCGAAATAAAATTTAGTATATTATAAAAAATAGATAAAAGTAAAAAATATATATATACACACACATACGTACATATATATATATATATATATATATATATATATATTTCTTTTTATAGAAAAATTTCATAGAATTTTTCTATCGTAAAAGTTGAGAAACGTCACTGGCGTCATACATTCGTCACATCCCTTAGAGTATTTTAGCTTTTCTCTTCTCGGGGATTCGATCATCGTCTTTCCTTCGAAGTGGAGAGTGCTTTAGAAACGTGAATCGTCGCGTTGCGAGGAAAACGTTATTTGTCAAGTACTATCATATCATCGGAAAAATGGGAATTGAACGGGAAAGGTTTCCCCTCATCGTTTCGAATGGTTTCAAAGTATTTTACAGAACGGGACACGTTGGATTCACCGTGAAAATCCTTTTTAGAAACGCCACGTGTTTGATATGCTTAGCGACAATGGAAAAAGAGGAAACTTATCTTTTAGAAAAGTAATGAAAAGGCATTAGAGACGACATCCTTGTCGGATATATATATATATATATATATATATATATATATATATATATATACACATATATACGTATGTATATATGTACAAAATGTATGTATGACAAAAGTAGATATTCCTTGATGAAGATCATATTAATTTACCTTATTGTAAATAAAACGAGAATTTCCTTTAAAAGAAATTTTTTTTTTTTCGAAACGTTCGATTAATTTTAATGAGAATTTTGTTTGATCATCTCTTTGACGTGAGTACATCTTTTTATAATGTAAATTATCATACTTTGCTCACTTTCTCCTTGTCTCTATTTCTCTTTCTCTTTCTCTTTCTATCTTTTACTTTTTATACTTCCTTTGATTTACACGATATTAATTATTATTATCCAATATAACGTAACGAATTTAAGTATCGTATGGTGAGAAATGTATTATTTCAGAAGACATCTTTTCTTAGTTGGTATGCTTTGAGTAACTACTAAAGAATATTTTATTCATTGAGTTTTAATGGTTCTTCTTCTTCCTCCTTCTCCACTATTTCTTCTTCTTCTTCTTCTTCTTCTTCTTCTCCTACTTCTTCATCTTCTTCTCATTTTTATTCTTACTCTTATTCTTCTATCTTAGAACGAGCAGATAGATAGAGAGAAAAAGAGAAAGATAGTAAGAAGGAAAATCTTTGCAGACGATTTACATAGTCGATTCATTTTCGAAAGAGTAAGTGAAAGAGAGAGAGAGAGAGAAAGAGAAAGAAAGGGAGAAAGAGAGAAGGAGAAAATACACGTCAGCATTTTTCTAACATTTTCCCTTTCCCGAGCGAATAAGAAATGACTTGAAAGCATATTTTTACTTTAAAACGAAACGCAAATTCTCAAAGTGTACCACGTCGAATTATATATTATATATATATATATATATATATTTCACCGAAATATTTCCCTTCTTCGTTCCTTTTTTTTTCTTCTATTTTCATTGGAAACGAATGGAAAATTGATAAAGTTTTTGGACGAACAAATTCCTGGGCCCGTAGTTTTACAATCCGAAAAAAAAAAAATTAGCCAAAAATAGTCTCGAAAAATACATTAGATATTAAATATTAATTCTGTTATATCACTTAAAAAGATCTTAGATTATTTCGATAGTTCATAGAATGAACGAAAAAGTTCCTAAATTCTTGTAGTTTTCACAAACTGAAAAAAAGAAAATAAAAGAAATTTGAATAGAAAAAATCCCGAAAGGTATTACAGCTTTTGATTTTTTTTTTAATATCACCTAAGGAACTTTTCGATCTATTCCTGTAGTAAACAAGGTCGATTAGAAATTCCTGGGCTCATAGTTTAACAATTCGAAAAGAAAAGAAAAAAAAAACAAAAAAGAAAAAAGAACATGAAAAAATTAATCTAAAAAAAAAATTCCTAAGATTGTCCTAGTCTTGTAATCTGAGAAAAAAATAAGTAGACAATTAATCTAAAAAAAAAAAAAGAAAAAAAAAAGAATCTCGAGGAAGATATTAACAATAAATTCTTTCATACGATCTAGGAACTTTTCGGTGCACCTCGATAAAGATAGACAGTAGTAATAAATCGAAAGTTCCTAGACGAAATAAAACAAAACAGAAAAGGAAACAAAAGAAATTAATCTAAAAGAAAGAAGGAAAAAAAAGTAAAAAAGAACAAAAAAAAATGCTTGGAAAATATAATAACAATAAATTTTTGATATCATTTAAAAACTTTAAGGTTTATCATACTATAACTATCCTCGATCTCAAATATACCCGTTCGATTTTCTCGTTAAATTCGATTTCGAATTATCGAGGATGTTTAACGACGAGTAACCAGAACGCTTCTTGTTTGTACGACTAAATACATTTATCAACGTCGTAGTGATCGATCGACGACAACGTGGGCGAGATCGAACGTATGGAACGTAGCCATAAACTCGGCACCTGTTAATTACGCACTTGATAATCCCCGAATTAGGATTAAACGCCGTGGGCTACGACGTGAGAGCGGTGTACGTACTCGTTAACGGCGACCACACTGTATGCGTTAAAGTACCGTAACAAATGAAACAATAATTCATTTTGTGATCATTAATCTTCGATCTTTTTAATTTTCCAATGTATTTCGCTAATATGGCAAATTTCGCTAATACACGTACAATATTATTAACGGATTGATCCTCTTTGATATATTATTTCTTCTTTTTATTTTTCTTTTTTCCAACTATTATATGAACTCAAATTATGTACATACGAATGTTACGATACTAGATACCTTCTTTCTCTCTTATTTTATATATTCACATAGCTTTCAATCCGTATAATGTAATATGGTACAATTATATTATAATCTATGTTTCGTACTAAGTATATATATATATATATATATATATATTATTACTTTATCTTTTTAAATGTACTGTATAATATATTATATTTATACTATAATTATATTATAAGTATATTATTTATATAACTAATACTTAACAAAAATATATAAATACTTTCGATATGAAAATGAGAATTAATTTTTTTTTTTCTATTGATAAAATTAAATGATAAAATCATTTTAACGTAAAAAATCTATCCTTAAATAGGATAGATATGGAAGATATACAAAAAAAGAATTACGTACATACATAAACATCTATATACATATATATATATATATATATATATATATATATATATATATCGATGTAAACATACTTTTGATCTTTGAGGATCAAAGTGAACAAATATTGGCGGACATGGATAGAGGAGAGACCATTGACGATATTTATTTACTAAGTCAGTAAGTTACCGATCGTCGTTCTATTTAGATGTAGAACTGTTTTAGATCATACATTCCAACGAAATATAAGTATTTATACTAAATGCAAATTATTATTAATATAATTTTACGTTTTATTCAGTACGAAGCATCAAACGAAATAATATTTTATAAAATTTCTAACATAATGAATATGAATGAAATATTTAGAAATATTATAAGGGGAAAGAAAAAAAAGGGAGAAAAATGTTCGTTTGATGTGATCCTCATTAATATAAACTTTAACAATGAGATGGTACGTTTATGATCGTCATTTCAAAGAAAAACGCTTCAGTAATTTTCTCGAAACAGCATAAATGAAGGCGGAAAAGATTTACCAGTAGACAGGCGAGTAGGAAGGCAAGCAACAACAGCAGCAACAACGGCGCTAGCCAGAAAGCTTTTTTTCTCTCTCTCTTTCTCTCTCTCCCTCTCTCTCTCTCTTTCACTCACTCACTCACTCACTCACTCACTCACTCACTCACTTTCTCTTTCTCTCATATATCTTAGCATATGTATCACCGGCAGCTGTACAGAAACGAAGCATCGATGTATATCAGCGTCGTGTTAAGTGACAACGCCATTACTCTAGCTCGGGCAATTCCTTGCGTCCCTTTAAAAGCATCCTCGTATCAATGGAACATCATATCAACGTCATACGTCGAACTAAAGAATGAAAGATAAGCTGAAAAAGAAAAAGAGAGAAAGAGAAAGAGAGAAAGAGAGAGAGGAAGAAAGAGAGAAAGAAATATTTATCATTACGTAGAAAGCAATTCTAGTATTAATTATCGATCAAAATATTAAATCATAAAATAAAAGAGAAAGAGAGAGAGAGAGAGAGAGAAAGAGAGAGAGAGAGAGAACATCTATTCATTATTACATGGAAAGCAATTCTAATATTAATTATCGATGGAAATATTAAATCATAAAATGAGAGAGAGAGAGAGAGAGAGAGAAAAAAAAAAAGAGAGAAAGAGTGGGACGAGATTATCTTTAAGTGCAATGACAAAACTGATAGAAAATCTGAAGAAATTATCTTTGAGAAGATCAACATTGTCCTTGCCATCGTCATAATAATAATAATAATAATAATAATAATAATAATAATAATAGTCTCTTCGTAGTACTATACGTAGTTCGTAGATGTTCGTTCTAAAGTATATGGGTTTATTCTGATTTCATGGCGCGTAGCGAATTTAATTTGCCCTCGAGCCTTGGGGATTGCCCTTGCAAAATTAGTAGCTTATACATCAATCATACTCGAACCTAACGGAGCATGCCTGTAGGTTTATCTTGCGGGTGGTGTAGAGAGACCACCCCCTCCTCCTAATACACTCTCAATCCTCGCTCTAGGACATCACATACAAGATACATACATATCCATATATCTATATATATATATTTACATACATATATACATGCATACATACATATATGTATGTATATATGTATCTGTACAAACATATTATGCATTTATATTTACATAGTATATATATATATATGTATATATATTTATGTAACGATATCTTTTCATTCAGCATTCGTAGTTGCGAAATCTTATCATCACGTGCACAGAAATCTCTCACAAAATTATTCGTAAAACGTTTGTTGTAG